CTAAAATACTGAGTACAAACAGATTTTTTAAGATTCTGTTATATATACTTCTTAAATGTATTCTTTTTATATAATATAGGCATGTATAAAAAAAAGGGTTATATGAATTAAAAAAATATATATATTTTTTTTACATTTTTTAATGAATGGAACTAATAAAAGGGTATTAAATCCAGTATTATTTTATATATCAAGTTTATTGCTGTAAAATATATTTAAATGTTTTAAATATAGTGCAAGTATTAAAACAAAAATAAAATACGAAGAAATCATATAGTATTATTTTTATCATGCATAAGAAATATATATATTTATAAATTATTTATAAATTATTTATAAATATTCATTTTCAATAAATTAGCCAAAAATATCTTTAATTTCAAAATTGAACACAGTTTCTTCACTTTCACTCAATTTAGGTGTTTCCCATTCACTTTCACTGCTTAAAGTATCATAATCAATGTTGTCTTTTTCATCAATTACTATTGTATCAGGTTGAATTATTGAATCAAAAATAGCTGTTTGCCGTTTTTGTAAAAATACATCAGAAAACTGTTCGATTACATTTTCCCTATTATTATCACTAAACTTTGGATCATTGATTTTAATGGCCATGAGTGTTAAGTGTTTTGTGGTTGATTCTGAGTCTTTGGTCTGACGTAATCATTGTCAGAAGACAAAATGCTCGTTCCACTGAGTTTGACCCAGTAAAACATGATTAAACTTGCTATTTTGCATAAATTTGGGTACTCGGTTTGTTGACTTTTTAAAGTATGGCTCCATATATTGTGGGCTGGTTTACCAAGGTAATTTACCTTTACAAAGTTTTTGAATTTTTTGAATTCTTTTAAACAATTTGTAATTAAAAATCCTGCTTTATCCAAAACAACATTAAAATGGGCATAAAATTCTTCAATTCGTTTTGATTCGTTTTCTAATTCCCATTGGTTCAGATCAAACCACCATACTAACCAAAACCAACATTTTACGTTCGTAGTACCATCTATAAATGTCAATGCTGAAGTCTTCGCTTGACCTTTTAACTCATGAAGCAGTTCTTTTTTATACTGAATACATTCATAAATACATTCATAAATAGATGAATACATTCATAAATAGACACGGAATTCATAAATAGACACGAAATTCATAAATAGACACAGAATTCATAAATAGAAACGGAATTCATAAATAGACACGGAATTCATAAATAGACACGGAATCCATAAATAGACACAGAATTCATAAATAGACACTGAATACATTCATAAATAGACACAGAAGTGAACAGACGTGTTTTTCCTGCGTAAAAAAAAAAAAAAAAAATTATTTTTTTAAGTTAACTTGTTATTTCTTTTATCATTGTAATTATTTTGAATATCAAAATGAATAAAATTAAAGATTCCGAAATCTCAATACAGCTAGTAAAGGAAATTTTTCAGGAGATGTTTCAGAAACAACAAAAGGACATTTTGAAATTGATAAGTGGAAACTTAAAAATTACTAATGAACAAATCGACGGATTACAAAAAGACATTACTTTGATTAAAGCCACTTGCGAATCCTTAAAAAAAGAAAACGAAAAGAGAAAAGTCAACCAAGCAAAGTCAAACAATCAGTTACTGAATTACGAAAAAGTTTTAAAGGACATTGAAGAAAGTCTATCGTTCCATCAAGATAATCACGATAAAAAGGTTAGTGACTTAGAGAAAAAAATTTGTTCAAAATCTAGTTTAGCAAGCGAAGACAAAGAAAAAATTCGACAACCAAAAGATTGGCAAAGAAGAAATAACTTAAGATTTGAAGGAATAGCTGAAAACAAGTCGGAAAGTTGGGATGATTCGGAAATTAAAATAATGAATATACTTGAAAATAATTTAAAAGTAAATGGAGTAAAAATAGAAAGAGCACATCGGACAGGAAAGCGTAATACAGAAAAGCCAAGAACTATCGTGATCAAGTTACTTGATTATAAAGAGAAAGTAAAAATTCTGAAAAATGCAAACAAACTTAAAGGTTCGGGAATATTTATAAACGAAGATTATTCGGTAGAAACAGCAATAATACGAAAAAAATTATTTGAAGAAAGAAAAATTCACAGGAACAACGGTAAGTATTGTACTGTTATTTACGATAAATTAATTGTAAAGGATTTTAAGAAATCAATTTGAATAATCATATTTTATTTTTTTATTAAAACTACTCTTATTTAAAATGGCTAACGAAACTGACAGATCCGATTTTGAGTTTAAAACATTTGAAATTAATAGTTCAACACTTTTACATCAAAGTTCGGATCCTGATTTTAATTTTTATAATAATAATGAAGTAATTAAACATATTAACCCATTATATTATAACTCAAACTCAAAAAATATAACGGAAGGAATGGATGATAACTCATTTTCAATTCTCCATATTAATATTAGGAGTATTCAAAAAAACTTTGAATCATTAAAACAGTTTTTATATAAAATCAAAATTAGTTTTAACATTATTTGCCTTAGCGAAACATGGTGTCATGATAAAAAATATTGAAAACGATTCAAATTTCCAAACACCTAATTACAATGTGGTTCACTAAGTTAGAGGTTGGGGCAAGGAAGGTGGGGGTTTGTATATGTATATTTATTATTAATTCATTATCATACAAGTTAATGCAAAACTTAAACTCAACCACTAATGACTATGAATCGTTATGCGTAGAAATCATTAGCGAAACCTCAAGAAATATAATTGTGCATGCGTTAATTAGACCGCCTACATGAAAAATTAATGCGTTCAAAAATCACATTAAAAGTATAATTAAAAATAAATCAAGTTGTAATAAAAGTGTGTATTTTATTGGTGATATTAACATCAACATTTTTGAATATGACGTTAATAAGCACATTAATAATTTCTTTAATGTCTTTTTTCAATCTGGTTACATTCCATTAATAAATAAACCCACGCGTGTAAGTATAGTGCAACATCAATAGATCAAATTTTTACAAATGAATTTCTCACAACAAAAATAAAAACTGGAATATTTAAAACGGATATTTCTGACCATTTTCCAATTTTTATTATATCAAATAAATGTGATAAGTCTTATTCTCAAATAAAGGAAAGTAACAAAACGACTAATTAACGATACCTCCATTAAATCTTTTCATGATGTTATATCATTCGAAAAATGGGACGAAACTCTAATAAATTTAAATGCTGATGAGGCCTATGATATCTTCTTAAATAAGTTTCTTCAATATTATAACAAAGCATTTCCCATAGTTACAAAATTATTAAAAGAAAAAACCCTTATGAGCCCTTGGATAACAAAGGTAATTATTAAATCTTCAAAAATAAAACAGAGATTATATTGTAAATATCTTTAAAAAAAAACATTACAAAATGAAACTAACTATAAAAATTATAAACGTTTATTTGAGTCAACTTTGAGACGTTCAAAAGCTAATTACTATTCAGATCAAATAATATAAAATTAATGGTTCGCAAAACACATGGCGCATTATTAGGGAAGTTATTGGCAAAAAAGATTTAGATAGAAATGCTTTGCCAAAAAATCTCAAATTAAATAATAAATTAGTTTTTAATAAATCAATGGTGGCTGAAACGCTAAATAACTTTTTTGTTAATGTTGGTAAAAGTTTAGCTGAAAAAATTGAACCATCTCAAATAAGTTTTAAATCATACTTGACATCAACTAATGCTGCTATGCCAAATCATGAACTTAAGGAGGAAGAATTATTAAATTCAGTTTCTTTGTTAAAAATTAACAAAAGTTCCGGTTAAGATGATATCAGCAGTATGGTCATTATTAAGTCACTAAAATATATAACAATACCACTTTTACATATTTTTAATTTATCTTTAAATCATGGAATTTTTCCTGAAAAACTAAAGGGTGCAAAAGTTACACCAATTTTTAAAACAGGTGGTCCTTCTGATGTTTCCAAATACAGACCGATCTCTGTTCTTAATTGTTTTTCAAAGATTTTGGAGCGTATAATGTATAATAGACTTTATTCTTTCTTAAATGTAAATAATATTCTTTACAATAAACAATTCGGGTTTAAATACGGTCATTCGACTGATCACGCAATAATTAATCTTGTGCATGAAATTTTTAAAGCGTTTGAAGAAAAAAAATTTACTTTAGGTGTCTTTATTGATCTGAGCAAAGCGTTTGATACCGTAGATCATAATATTCTTCTTTATAAACTTAAAAATTATGGTATCATAAATTCTAACTTAGGCTGGTTTAAGAGTTATTTAAAGAATAGGAAACAATGCATTTTATATGATGGCGAGAAAACAGACTTGATGACAATTACCTGCGGAGTCCCCCAAGAATCAATTCTAGGACCGCTTTTATTTCTCATTTATATAAATGACTTGAGTAAATTTTTCAATATCTTAAATTCAATTTTATTTGCCGACGATACTAACGTATTTTATTCAAGTAAAGATATTAATTTTTTATTTACAACAGTGAACGAAGAGCTTGTGAAACTAAGGGAATGGTTTATATCAAATAAATTGTCCATAAATATTAAAAAAACAAAATATACTTTCTTCCATTGTCTTCATGATAAAGACAACATACCCTTACAACTTCCTAAGCTTTTTATTAATAACTCTTATGTCAAAAGAGAGAGTTCTTTGTTGTTTCTAGGCGTTGTTTTAGATGAAAACGTAACATGGAAGGAGCACATATGAATAATCCAAAATAAAATCTCAAAAAATATAGGCCTTTTATACAAAGCAAAACAGTTGTTGAACCAAACTTGTTTGAAACTTATTTACTTTTCTTTTATTCATTGCTATCTAAATTACGCTAACATTGCTTGGTGCAGCACTAATGTATCTAAAAATAAAGGGCTTCTAATTAAACAAAAACACGCTCTAAGAATTATTGGAAATGTGAATTACTTTTCGCACACTAAATTACTTTTTAATAAATTCAAAATACTTAACGTATTTTAACTTAACCAATATCATATTTTTATATTTATGTTCAAAGTAGATAATAAAATGGCACCCATTTTATTTAATTCATTTTTCGAAAAAATAAATCATTTATACCCAACAAGATTTTCAAACAACAATTATATTCAACCAAAAAAATATTATTCTGCGACTAGGTTCTCGATAGCAATCAGAGGACCTAAATTATGGAACACCCTATTGGATAATGAGTTTAAAAAAATTTCTTCCCTTGATCAATTTAAAAAAAAAATAAAAAGTAAACTTTTGATAATTGACAATGAACTTGACTTCTTCTGAAACTTTTAAATAGGAGTAATCACTTGTTTTTTACTTGATATTTAATTTATTTTTAACATATTAATTTTTGATTTTAATTTGAATCTTTACCTTCTTAAATTATCATGTTTTATCTCATTTTTATTTACTATTAAAATTTGAAATCCTAATAAAAAAAAAACTAAAAAAAAATATTAAATTTTAATGAAATATTTAATTATTCATTAAAATATTAAATTTTAATGAAAAATATTTAGATATTTGTATTTATATATGTACCTTACGCATATATTATATTGTGATAACGGATTTTTTTGGTTTTTTGGTTTTTTGTTTTGTTTGTTACTTATATTCTTGTTTGAAGGGGCTTGGCGATAAGACTGAATTTGTCTTCTTTTTGCCCCAGCCGTGTATATACAGTTTTTAAAGTCTAATTTTGTAAATATTTTCTTTATGGCAAAATATATATTGTATTATTAATACAGACTTTACACCATAGCTTTACAACAAATATTGTTCCATTTTCCATGATTGTTTCCTTTCCACAAACTTCATCTTTACCCAAACTCAAATATCTTGCTAGTGTAACTCTGTTACCAGAAAATGCCATTTTCTTTACTGAAACTTTACTTTTTAACTTGAAAATTTGAATAACTTGAAAACTTGAATAACTTAATAACTTTATATCAGTCAATTTATACTATAAAAATTGGTTAAAAGTCTGTTGATTATAAATGAGATATTTTTAATAATGAGTTATATATTAGCATATTAAATAGACAGCTGCCTTTTTGAAAAAAAAAACAAGAAGTTAACGCGGATGTACAACAGGGAAATATGTAAGACTTTAAACATCTTTTAAGTATGACAAACTAATCAATTAATTAAGCAAAGTGTGTGATTATACAACAAAAAAAAATTGTATTTATTATCTAACGGTTCTTATTGTATAAGTTTACAAATTTCCAAAAAATACTGAAAACCCGAACTACTATGTTAAATTCTTTTGTAACACATGTATATTTTGCCTGCTTTTTAATATACTAATTATTTATCTTTTAAAATAACACAGAATATAATGGAACAGCTATAGCTGTTTGAAATAACTTGTTTGACTTTTATTTTTTATTTTTACATCAGAATATATTTACATCAGAAAGTTATTTTTTCATTTTTTTTTTTTTTTTTGCATATCCTGAATGAAATAGTTTTGTTTTTTAAGTAGTAAAACAGTTTTACAAAATTACATCATTTGAGAAGTTTTTAAAAGAATAATTAGATAAAAATATAAAAATATTTAACTTTATTTTTACCATAAATTTATATTTTGCGCGGGCATTATTTTGCCCATGTGAATTGATTTGCACAGGTGTGGATTCCTTCCCAAGCCTGTATATATATGTGTATACATATATATATATGTTTACATATATATATGTTTACATATATATATGTTTACATATATATATATATATATATATATATATATATATATATATATATATATATATATATATATATATATATATATATATATATATATATATATATATATATATGTATATATATATATATATATATATATATATATATATATATTTAAATATATATATATATATATATATATATATATATATATATATATATATATATGTATATATATATATATATATATTTATTTAAATATATATATATATATATATATATATATATATATATATATATATATATATATATATATATATATATATATATATTTATTTAAATATATATATATATATATATATATATATATATATATATATATATATATATATATATATATATATGTATATATATATATATATATATATATTTATTTAAATATATATTTATATATATATATATATATATATATATATATATATATATATATTTATATATATATATATTTATATATATATATAAACTATGTGCTATAATAAATATTATAATAATGTTTTGATGTCATACAAGTTATATGCGTCTTTAAAAGTCACATATAGCATATAACTAATTTATCCAAATTCACATATAAGGAGATTTGCATCCTGACACTTTTTGCAAAAAAAATTTTTTTAACTTTTGAATACATTGATGGTTTTTCTTTTACCCATTTAGACAATTTAACTTAACCAACTTTTTTTCATTTATCATTTATAGTGCCTGTTTTAAGCATTTAGCTTTTAGCTTGATACTTAATGAATTTAATTGAAGTAAAGTGAAGTGTCTGTAAAGTTGTTTAGCTTGATGAATTATATTTGATGCAATTACATTTAATTTTTGAACATTAAGATTAAAAAAAAAAAAATTTATTGGAGTTTTTGAATTTTTTTAAAAGTTTTATTATTCTATTTTATGCATTTATATGCAATTTGAAACAGTCTTAGTGACTTGATCTAAAGTTTTTTTTAAAGTTTAAACCTTTGCTTAACTAAAGTTTTTAAAAAATTTAAACCTTTGCTTGACTAAAGTTTTTTTAAAGTTTAAACCTTTGCTTAACATAACCTTTGCTTAACATAACCTTTGCTTAACAAAACCTTTGCTTAACATAACCTTTGCTTAACTTTGATTAAATTTTTTAGCTATGACTAAATAGTTATACATTATTTTAAAAAATATGATGTAAATTTAATGAAATAATAAAAATTACTTTTCCAATTTTATCTATTCAATTAATTTATTCAATTAAAAAAACTAACATTTTATATTTGTCAAAAAAATAACAACAACTGAATGTTGTGTATAGATAAAACAAACATAATAAATTAAAAGTTATGAAAACATTAAAATACTGATTATTTTTTTAGTTCCTATCAAGCTAAAGAAGCAACAACAAACTGCTATTGCAAATACCCATGATTTGAAAGCAATATATTGTGAGGTTCAAAAAGGAAATCCACTTCCTGTCTTTAGATGGGAAGTAAAATCTAAATCATGTGATACTACTAACCCAAGGTGTGATATAGCTGCAGAATGGTCAAGCGTTTTAGAGGTAATAATTCCGAAAAATTGAAGAATAAATTGTTTATAAAATTTTTATTATGAACAAAAAAAAAACAAAAAACACTATACATTATTTTGCCTATGTGATTCTGTGGCTGATTTAACATAGTGTGATATGACTGAATCAAAATATGCTTGTGGTTGCTTGTAATCTTGTTAAGAGTGACTTTGTTTACATGCAGTTGAATGACATAACAATTTGAGAAGTTCTCTGTTTATTGCAAGGGAAATATGAAGAACTGTTATAATCAAAAACCAAAAATAAATAAAAAAATCAGCAATAACTGTCTCTAAACTGTGCTACTAAATCATCATTCTTTCAAAAACCTGTAGAAAATTGTTTTGAATTCATTAAACTTTAAAAATTTAAAAACAAACTCAGTGAGAAACAAATGAAGTCATTGTTGGACTTAAAGAACCCACATTACAGTCTGACTCTCAACTTAATACAGAGTTTTTAAGAGTCGTTTTTTATAAGAACAAGGCAAAACTAGCAACTTGAAATAGTTTAGTTATTGGATTTTCTTAAAAATCTTAGAGATATCTTTAAATCCTTTCATTAGAAAATCCTGAAAATTTGAGACCACAATTCAAAGTGGTTCAAAAGTTATTGTGGTTTGAAGTTTCATAAAATGTTGACTTTGTCATTTTTCAAAATTTTACAATTTCATTACAATTTCATGCAGCTAAAAATGAGAGGAAGTGCTTGAAATGAGAGGAAGTGCTGAATTTTTATGAACAAATTTAATATAAATTCTTATACATTAAAGAAAAAAATTGAACTTTTAAAATAACTGAAACACACTTTTTCTTGTTAGCCAAAACTACTCCAGCGGCGTTCAATAATGCAAGTTCTGTACTTTTGATCACTAAGTCTCTAGTTAATCTAGGTTTATATTTGAATGTTATAAGTTTTTAAGAAAGAACATCTGGTTTTGCACTGTAAATACAGTTAAACTTATTCAAAACTCAATATTTGTCTAAAAATCATCTCAAAGCCTAACCTGCTTTAAAAACGATAAAATTTATGCTAACTTTGAGAAGCAAAAAATCAATGTGCCAATTAGCTATTGACATATAGTTTTTCGAAAATGGTTTATACACCTATATACTTTTAATAAATTAAAAGATTTCAATGGGTGGTATAATCTAAATAAGGGTTTTTTAAATTCAAAATCGCTTTCAATAGAAAAAAAAACTGCTTTTAGAATCAGTAGTTAATAAATGAAATTCTTAAAGCAATTTAAATGATTTTTTTTTTTTCAACATTTTTACTTCCAACAAAGCTGCGAGCAACCACTATTAGAGTTAGAAGTTACTGGAAGAGAAGTTTTTAGAGTAAGACAACGATTGACAGACAACTTAAAAGATTGCAAATTATATGAATTAGGAAGGCAAGAATAAGGAAGCGAATTCCAAAGAACTTATGTTTGAAGAAAAAAACTACACAATAAGAGTTTTTGGAGTCCAATAGTCACATGCTTGGCCTGGGCATTTGTATTCATAAGAATTTGTCAGAAAATTATGTCCACAAACTATTCTTTTATGTGCTTTTAGTTTAGCACCTAAACACATTTCACTCTATCGCCTTACTATTTGTTCTATATCGCTCTCCTTTATCTCAATACAACACTTTTTTCAATGTTATTTTTTATCTAGTTGACCAAACCCTTTCTCTTTATCTTTCATCCAATATTGTTGTTGATACTTTGAATCATTAATCTTCTATACTCTTTTTTCTAATCGTAGTCAGTGCTCTGTTTCTCTACGTTCACCTTTAGATTTTTATGATGACAGTTTGATCTTTCTAAAACTATTATCTCATTTTTCTTCATCTTCAGAAGCACCCTATCATCTTACCTCTTAAAACCACTATACAGTAGTGTGCAAAAAATTAAGGCCACCTTTAAAAAACAACAAATTATCACTTTTTCATTGTCTTTGGATGACGTCATCAAAACATGTTGTATTGCGTGGTCAAATTTTGTTATCAACACAAAGCACATTAAGCGTTTTCCATTTCATAACAATAGTTTCATTTTTTTGGGCATTTGAAGTATAACTTGATGCATTTTTAACATGGTAAGAAAATCAGGTATTTCAAGTTTTATTAAAGGAAAAATTAATGCACTGCATGTAGTAGGACAAAGTCAGCGCGCTATATCAAGACAGTTAAAGATTTCAAGATGTGCTGTTCGAAATGCATTAAAGGAGGAGACAGGTAGGCGTTTAAATTGCAGCCGTCCCTGCAAAACAACCAGTCGTGAGGATTGATTTATGAAAGCTGTAGTAGTACATAGTCCGACTGCATCCTCTGCTCGCATAGCTCAAGCACTTCATGAGAAAGAGACAGTTATTAATTCTTGCACAGTAAGATGATGCCTAACTACAGATTTATAAACTATTTAGAAGACGACCAGCAAAAAAAGGATCAAGTTCTGTAAGGCCTTTAAAGGTAAACCTGTGGAATGGTGGGACACAGTAATGTTTAGCGACGAAAGCACATTCCAGCAGGTCAGGGGATCAGGTTACAATTATGTAAGACGTCCAGCTGGACAGCGCATGAATCCAAAGTATACGCTGAAAACAATTAAGCACCCCCCAAGTGTTATGGTTTGGGGGTGTATCTCCAGTCAAGGATGTGGGCCCCTTGAGCTTATGGATGATACAACCAGACTGAATGCTCAGTCGTATATTGATATTTTGAATAGAAAGTTAAAGGTACACATGAATATTTCATATGCTACAATATTCCAACAAGACAACACAGAACTGATTTATGACAAACGGCATTATGAACTTAAACAACTGGCTATCAAGTTCACCGGACTTAAACGTAATAGAAAATTGCTAGAATTTAATGAAAAAGAATTAATTAAGTTGCCAAACATTTACGTTAAAAAGTATAATTATTCTCTGTTGTGTTGAAGAAAACTTATGAAATTTCATGTGGCCTTTGCACACTACTGTAAAGCTGACTGGGACTCTTTCTGTGATTTTCTTCGTGATGGCCCTTGGGTAGATATCTTTCGTCTTCCTGCTGAAAAATGTGCTTCTTAAGTAACTTTTTAGATTCAGACTGGCGTGGGAATCATTTATTATCTTTCGGCAATTCCAAGTCAAGTCTTACTCATCTCCATGGTTTTCCTCTCATTATGCTGCTGGAATTTCCAATTGCAACCATTACTTCCTTATCTATCAGCAAAACAATTCTCCAGAAAACAGATATCCGTTTACTATTGCTAGAAACTATTGTTAAAAGGCTTTGTCTAACGCCAAAGCCCTCTATTCTTAGGCCATGATATCTCCTATTTTATAAAATAAATTAGGTTCCTGAGACTTCTGAAGAATCTTTAACAGTGTCTATAATAAGGGAAAATCTGTTATTCCACATGTCTTGCATGGCTCAGATTTTGTTACCTCACCTAAAGACAAAGCTGAATTGTTTACTAAGAAATAGTTTACTAATTGTTTAACTAATCTCATCTCTTGACTCCACGAGTTCTGTTCTACCTGATATAGCCAATAAACAGGATGATATATATATATATATATATATATATATATATATATATATATATATATATATATATATATATATATATATATATTAAGAAAACAAGGTGAAGAAAGCAAATTCAAAAAAAAATGTTTAAGGTAAAAAGCAGGAAATCACTTTAGATACAGAGGCTGGAGTGATACATATATATATATATATATATATATATATATATATATATATATATATATATATATATATATATATATATATATATATATATATATATATATATATATATATATAAATGAATAAATAATATGTTTCTTGCAGAAAAAATATATGTTTCTTGCAGTATCGTTTTTACTATTACATGAAAATAATGCAATTAAAATAGAATTGACAATTCTGCACTTAACTTGTGATTTTTTTTATATATTTATTTAAATAATTTTTTATATATTTACGTAATTATATTATTTAGATGCAGAATGTTTAGAGATAATTGAATTAAAAACTCGAAAATAGAAAAAAAAAGAACTTGAATTTATCTTAAAGTATTAAATCTTTATATTTTTAGATGAAGCATATTCTTCAATAAAACAACAAAACAAAGCCAAAGAGTATGCTATAAAAAAAATTAACAAAAAGACTGGCTTATGATTAAGTGATTGGTCTCAAAAAATACTTCCTGTTGAGTTCAGAGAAAGGCAGAAAGCTTATTGACTGCTTATTTTAAAATATAATGATGATTAATTAAAGTATAATTAGAGTATAGTACAAAGTAATACAACTATACATACACCAATGGATTCAATTTTATTACAACATGCTGATTTGCTTATTTATTCGTCCAACTCTAGCTAAAAAGATTTCTTAAATGAAGAGTTTATAGCTGGCATAAAGCAACACCAAAAAAGTTCTAGCAAAATAAATTGAGAACAATGAAAGATAAAAAAAAATCATCAAGTTGTTCCCATTAAATGCATTAGTTGACAGCAAACTCTATTCTCATTTAACAGAATGTAAAGCAAGGTTTGCTTAAAAAACCTGATAAAGTTGAAGCTAACAAGAACTTTACTGAAAAATTAGTAGAAAAAGTGATTTACAAATGACACTAAAAATGAAATTTTTAGTGTCATTTGTAAATGACACTAAAATTTTAATTTACAAGATTTTAGCCAAAGTTGAGAAATTAAATAATCTTGATGTAGGGCATTTTGTTCTTGTAGCATGGAGTTTTGTGAATTTGTTCACTGTTTTTTTACTTTTTTACCTCAATACTTTATGATGATGATCATGATGATGATGATCATGATGATGATGATGATGATGATGATCATGATGATGATGATGATCATGATCATGATCATGATCATGATCATGATGATGATGATGATGATGATGATGTGTTTATCGATTTCATCTTATATTGGGTAAAATATTTTATAACTTGAACAAGAATTTGTTGAAGACAGGTCTAACACCCA